AAATTCAAACATCCGTAACTTCGTAAATATGGCGGGCGAGCTTAGATTTTGGGTGCATCGTAATCAGGACGTTACGTACTATCCACTGGCCAAATTTGATCCAAATCGTAGGGGCTCACCTGATTCCGAATCTTAGATTATAGATTAGGATTCACTTACATCTGACTTGACGACCGTATAAGATATAACGAATTTGCCCATGATTGCTAATTGCCTAGCAACAGCGTGCAAAATCACTCAGTTGCTAGGCAATAGCTGGTACAAATGTCTAGTGAGTTAAAAATGAACAGGCAGCAACCAAAGTGTGGAAAATCCTTGGACACGTTGGAAACGTTGCACGAATGGAAAATCTTATACGGCCTTGTGGAAAACTTATACGGCCTTGTGCGCCTTGTGGAAAATGAGTTTTGAGTGTTGATTGTAATTTGTAGGGTTCCGGTTGGACGATTTTCTCACCTTTTTTCCTATTGTGTTTTGTTTATATATACAGTGAAAGGCATGTATGTAACCCAGTCTGCAAAACGTGGCAGCCAGCTCGACGAGGTGTTTGGGGCAGCCGGAATCCTGCCCCAAATGGGGCAGTTAGCCTCCCGGGCAGTCAAATTTCTGCCCCAAATGGGGCATCTAATTGGGGCAGGTTAGATTATGCCCTAAATGTACTATATATAGCATAAAAACTTCATATCAATACATCAACTGCGCAAATTTAAGTCGGTCGCGGTAATGAGGCTCGAACAATTTTTAAACGAAAGCATAGAGATAGGGCACCCCCATGTCGGGAGCGACTCGCGAATACGTAGCAGCGGCCGCCATGTTGGTGAGGGCGAGAATCTGCGGCGCTGTGTAAACACTATGGGAGGAGGGGGTGTTTGGGATAGATTTTGTGGTATTTTTCGACCGAAAAGTGTTAATCTTTTTTACCTATGGCATTCTTTGGAATGAGTAGATTGTGAAACAAGGGCAGAAACATGTGTATTTATAGTAATGTAATTACATCAGCCCTAGACATATAGCCCCGAAGACGCTGATAAAGGATATGCGGCACCGAAGGTAGATGCAATTGGCATGCTAATTTAAGATAAAATTTGTTTCCGATTATGGCTACCATGCTTTATATCTATGTATGCAGTATGCAATGGACAATGATCGACAATAAGTGCAATTTTAGCCCTCACCCGTTCGTAGTTTGTCAGCGTCTTACGAGTAGGGGAAGCCAGGGTGAACGGAGTGAACTCCAGCCGTTCGCCCCTCGACGGAGCAAGAACGGAAGGTATGCTGTCCGCGATGTGAGTAAACCAGTGATACCAAATTTCAGGGTACTAGGTCAACGGGTGAACTCAGAGGTCAGGTCAAACACTGGAAATCGAACCAGTAAAGTCACTGGAGTTTGAGAACTTTCGCTATAAAATCGACCAAAACGCGTGAACTGTCGGCGAAATGGGTTACATCATTCCCAATCAACCTCATCTCGAAATCTAGCGAACCGGGTCACATAAGGTCATACAAGGTCAGCGACCTAAGATGACCTCGGATGGCCTTGACACATGGCGGGTCATGTGAAGTGTATTTATGGGCGCCGATCTCGAATCCCGTGTCAATCTTACTTTAAAAAATGATTTGCGGGCACAAATCCGCAAGAGGATTACGAATAAAATGAGCAAGATGCTCCGAAAACTGCCCATATGAAGCGCAGCCTTGACCTCGAGGCAAATGCACGTTATCTAGACATCAACACTAAAAAAACGCATGTAAAATGAGCGCCGCAGATTCCCGCCCTCACAAACATGGTGGCCAGTCGCACGCACTAAAACACTGCCAATATATCTATGAACGAAAGGATCTGATCATTGGTCAAGGTTATATTATATAGAGCGGCTAGTGTTCCGGTTAAAATGTGGTGATGACGCAGTTGGGGTGCAAAACTGCCTCATGTTGCCATGGCAACGTCGAATCAATCGGCAGCGAGGGGCGCATTTCGTTTTTGCAACCAAAGAGAGGCGCTTCTCGGACAATACCCCAATGCATCATTGAAAAACTGATATTACACCTCGTCTCGGCGATGATCAGCTAATTGGTGGCTTAGTTTTAAGTGTGCAGAGTACGCGCGTCTCTTAATCTGTAGGTCGCGGGTTCGCAGCCGGTCAGTTAAGCGTTTTAGCACGCGTTCGTTTCTAAGTGGAAATGTGGATATCATTTGGCCGGACGGGGACGGCAATCATCGTGAGGGCTATACAGCACATTTACGAGTGTTCGATTAGGTCAGGTTTGGTCTGGTTCGGTTTGGTTTGATTTGGTTTGGTGAGGCTAGAAAGGAGTATCTCCGGGTAGCGCCTTTCCTTGGTTGCTAATACGAAACACGGCGCGTAAAACATTCATAGCCCCGATGAAGGGAAAACTCGAATATGGTAGCAGTTACAAATGACAATTTCTGCGCTTCAGCGACGTTTGTGGCGCAGCTCACTTTTTCTCGCGCGTTTCAACAATACTCTCCTTCTTTATTATTTTCCACCGGTAGCGTGCACCCCGCCCCGGTCCGCCCCGACTGCAAACGGTCTGCCCCGGAATTGCCGAACTCTGCCCCGATTTCTCAAAAGCTGCCCCGATATCTGCCCCCCGCCCCACTGTGTCTGCCCCGACGAGATCTCGTCGAACCCTGCCACGTTTTGCAGACTGGTATGTAACCAACGTGTTCAATTATGCATGATTTAACTTATTTTCGTTATTTTCAATCAAGTGTTGGACAATCATTAAAATATCAATATCAAATAGCTTTGCAGCTTGTCCGGTCTTTTGAAGTCACAAGGCATTAAAATAAGGGTCTTTTTTATTTCAAGATTAAACCCTGACTAGCATAGTAGCATTAATGAATTACATAGTTGTTAGATAAGCACAACTTGATTAACTGCAATGAAGATGCTAGGTTATGCTGGCCTCTGGTCTGTAACTCACCAATTGGTGTTCCCTGTTTCAGCAGCAGTAATCCATGTCCGCTGGAAGAGTGCTGTTCTGCAGAGGGGAGGAGGATGAGGCTGATCACGATGACATCTGGGATGACTCAGAGCTGATTGCTGCCTACGACAGGGCACTGGCATCAGCACGCGCCGAGCTCGGCATGGCTGGTTAGTTGCATCCCTTGGGATGGTGGTGAGAGTCAAGGGACAGAGAAAGGCAATGGGATGTATGAGGCTAGTTTTAAAGATTGTGTAGTCAGCTGGGCTCTCTTCATTCAAAGGGCCAATGTATTTCATTGCACCAAAGAAGTTTTCTTTGAGCAGTGACAATTGGCACACAATTATCATATCCCATCTTCCTCAATGCCATTGCTGCTGAAAACTCATAAAGGTGTGATGACACTGTCCATTAAACCGTTTCCAGTCATCTGACCCTGCCATTGTCCTTCAGGCGCCGCCGCCGAGGAGAAGCCGTCCAAGAAGTGGCGGATCGGCGACTTTTGCCGGGCGGTGTACTCTGTGGACGGCCAGTGGTACGAGGCCGAGATCCTCTCCGTGGGCGGCGCCCGGTGCCGATTGCGCTACGTCGGCTACGGAAACGAGGAGGACCAGCCGCTGGGGCGGCTGCAGCCCTCCGCCGGTAAAAAGGAGCGGCGCAGACAGGAGAGGGAGGCGGAGGACGAGAGAGAGGCACAGGAGGAGGGAGAGGAGGAGGCAGAGAGTGAGGAGGAGGACCAGGGTGAGGCAGAGGAGGAGAGCAGGCCCGCGGAGAGAGCGGCGGGGAAGAGCCGGAGGTCGGCGGCAGAGAGGGGTGTTGGCTCGGTGCAGAACCCCGCGGCCGGCGCTCAGAGCTACACTGGGAGCGGACAGACCCGTCACAGCTACAGCCAGCAGGCAGGGTATCCAGGTGCGGGCCCTATACCGACCTACCCCGCCGGACAGCCGACCCCGGGATACCCGGGCTGGGGCCCGCCCTGGGCGCCCGGTCCGGGGTCCCACGGCGCCCCCTGGGGGCACAGAGCGGGCCCCTGGGGCGCCGCGCCGCCGTGGGGCGCCCGGGCGGGGTACGGCGGCCGGGCGCAGGACCCGTACCTGCCCGCGTACCCCCCGCCGCCGCCACCCCCGCCGGTACCGGGGGACGCGGACCCCGTGCAGCTGGCCAACATGCTGATGTCGTGGTACATCAGCGGCTACCACACCGGCTACTACCAGGCCAGCCGCGAGGCTAGGAAGTGAGCAGGTGGCTCACATCGGCTGACTACTGGGCCAGCCGTCAGGCCAGTGAATGCTCTCTGACCCATTCCGGTTAATACCAGGCCAGGAAGTGAGCGCGATCGCACTCTGCACCTGATGGCTGGCCTGTGACAGTGATGACTGTGACGCCATGTTACAAGAACTGGTGATATGCGCTTGTGTTTGATGATGCCGTACGCTCAGTCAGCTCGTTTTGTGTCAAAGGTTCAGGAGTCCAGTGTTGGGTGGTTGTGGCACCTAGTGCCGGGCTTTACTCAGGACTCTGTCGGGTGGTCATGGCCTAGTGCGGTGCCGGGTCATGGCACCTAGTCTGTGAACCGAACTGGCGAGGGACGGGTATGGCACACCTTGGTCAACTCAGAATCTGAACTGCCATTGTCGCTTGTTAAGAAATAAACATGTTGCAAGGAAATCTTGGCGTAGTTTTTTTTTGGGGGTACCAGTGGGACTCGGTAAACGATCAATACGTAGTGCGTCTGTCACGTTGCATAACTGCATACAAACATGCACGTGACCGCTGCACTCGCTTTACTTACATAAACAAGTGGGCTCTTGCCACAAAAAAACTAAAGTTTCAAACGAACTTGTCATTTTCAACCGTCTGTTTTTCGTGTGTTTGTCTCTCTCTCAGGCTCTGCCGGCCTCTCTCTCTCTCTCTCTCTCTCTCTCTCTCTCTCTCTCTCTCTCTCTCTCTCTCTCTCTCTCTCTCTCTCTCTCTCTCTCTCTCTCTCTCTCTCTCTCTCTCTCTCTCTCTCTCTCTCTCCCTCTCTCTCTCTCTCTCTCTCCCTCTCTCTCTCCCTCTTCCTCTCCCTCTCCCCGCTCCTAGACCAGTCTTGTTCATCCATCTTGCACCTATCCCACCCAGATAACGAAACGCAACACACCGAATAGTACTTTATTGCACGGACAACAACGCCTCATTTCAGCAAAACGTGCACACACCACCTTTTTGTCACAGTTTGCAACAGTCGCCCCTCCCGGCGCAGTCGGGCACGTGGCCCTGACGCCTGGCTGGACATTATACGAGCAAAGCCGGTCAGTCACCTGACCGGTCCGTACACACCCGGCCGGAGATAGACCGGCGCGGCACAACCAGAAAGAGGATCAGCCGGGGCATGGGTATCGAGTCAGACGAGCGCGCGGAAGGACGGCGGGCAAAGGATGTTAGCGAAATAGCAGCAGGAGCACGCTGGGTTCGGATGGGCGAATTAACGAGCACTGGCTACAGCATGGCGGTCGGAGCTCCGGCTGTTAACAAATGACGAGAAAAGAGGCACAAACGCGAACATGGGAGGGAGATTTATGCTGAGTTACATAATGGCGGCCGATGAGCAGGCCAAAACTGGTGAACTATGCGGGAGGTGAGCCATCATCTCGGATTTACACAGGTTAGAGGCAGGGCTAGGCCCCGACAGGAGAGATTCTGCAGCAGGTCGCGGGCGCGGGGGACTCAAATCATCACAACCAATCGAGTAGCACACTGACATCTGCTAGCCACCCGCTCACACACCGCTGCGAGGGCGGAGACTGCGCGGAGACTCGCGACGCACCGGTCCATGAAAGAGGAGTGGGTGTGGGGCAGCCGTACCCCGCCCACCAGCACCGCACGCGCCGCCCCGACCGGCCGCGTCAGGCACTGAGTTGGCGGGCGGGCCGCCCGGTCAGGTCAGGTCACCGCCCGGCCTCACATAGCACCCAGAGTTTACACCGCTCAGAGACGCTAGAAAGAGCCCTCGGCAGCCGGCCACCATCAGACCCGCGGCAGTCAGTCTGGAGCTCCCCGGGGTCCGATATTTGGGCACAGCGTCCCGGCAGGGCCGTGGGTCAGATATGCACACAGGTCTGCTCTAGGTAATGCGTTAACAGGAGACCACCAGTCTCTCGATGTCATTCAGTTGACTATACACCGCACGGAGATAAAAACACAGAGGTGGCCGAGGCTGACTGCGTCCCGACGGGCGTTCCTCTGAGCTCCTGAGGACTGGCGGGTCGTCCGAGGCAGCTGGGACTTGTGAGACCGCTCAGATCACATCAGAGGTCACCCAGGTCACTCCAGAGGTCACTCAGAGGTCACCCAGAGGTCACTCAGGCCACCCAGGTCACTGGCTGGTCGCCGGATGATGTCGTTGGCCGGTCGCCACGGCATATTCGTTATCAGGTCCTCTCCCACCGCGGCTGAGACGAATTCATCACCCTAGAGTCCATGAAAGCCGCAGCACGCTATCGAATTATGCTGGCACTTGTACACAGCGCACTCAGCAATCCGCACATCTATGTGGTCAGTTGGGCAGGCATTCGCAAGACGCAAATCATCTACAACAAATAATTTACTCTCTCGGCACACACAGTCGCGTACAAGAGCCCTGGAGAAAATCCCACCTAGCCGTCCCTATCACCTATCGCCGGGCGGCGGGCGCTCGGCCTGCCACCTGGCGGCCGGGCGGCGCACTTGTCATTGCTAGTCTGGCCGCGGGCGGCGTTCAGGTGAGTTTGGAGTAGAGGTCGTCTAGCTGGGGTTTGAAGTACTTGCGGAGCTCTGGTCGCTTGGCCTTCAGCGTGGGCGTCAGCAGGTTGTTCTGGACGCTGAACGGGTCCGGGTGCAGGTAAATGTCCTTCACCTGCGCGGAGGGAACGACGGGAAATCGTCAGAGGATACACGCGAAAATATGGAGATAATCGTGTCGTATTGCGATTACGCTGAGAATCAGGTCAACGATCAAAACAAAAATGAATGAATTAAGAGCACCTCTCAGAACGCCTGCAAGTCGTAAGAGATCTTTTCATACAAACGACTATGACAATGATAATAAACAAAGCCCCTCCACGATACCCAGAGTTCCTTCTCACGCAATTTCTATACAAACAAGTCTCCTCCATCCACACTACTTCCGGCCTCTTCCCATCCCCCCCCCCTGCACACGCACCTGTTCGAAGCTCTTGAGGTTGGCCTCCTTGGCCAGTCGGTTCATGTCGTCCATTATGTGTTTCTTCACCTTGGGACTCTGGCAGAGCACGGACAGCGTGCCGGGCACGTTGTTCTTGGTGGCCCAGGCCTTCAGCACGTCCACGTCCGGCACCACCACGGCCACCACGCAAGACTTGAGACTCTCGCCGTGCACGAACATCTGGGCGATCAGCTGCGAGCGCACGTACACGTTCTCCACCTTCTCCGGAGCCACGTACTCGCCCTGAGGGAGGGGAAGGGGAGAGTCAGAGGGGCACGTATTCACTCTAAGAAACGGGCAATGGTTGATGGGCGCCAGAAAGTCACTCTAAAGGCCGCCCCACACTGGACCCCGCATGCGGGTTGCGAGTTTTTGGGTTTTGCGGTTTCTTTAAAATCAGATAATACAATCTAAGCTGAGTGACCCACACTACCATCTAACAAGCGAGTCTGCATGTTTTTAGGTTGCAAGCGACCTTGCATCGCATTCCAAAAGTTGATTTTGAGTCAACTTTCGATTTTCCTCGCTGCGAGGTCTGCGAGCTCTGCGAGGTTTGCGGGTTTTTCGTTGGAGTCGAATTTTGGTTCGTTGCGCTGGTATTGCGACTATATGTAAGTTTCTGAAGGTGTACTGGCTTCACTGCATTCATGAAGCTACAATTAGGGAACGGCCTAATCACTCTATGAATTAGTATTATGCCCGCAAACTCAAAACCCGCAAACTCGCAACCCGCATGCGAGTTCCAGTGTGGGGCGGCCTTAAGGGGGAGAACAGTAGGACTCACCACCATGACACGTCTACTTCAGCCATGGCGGGTATGCGGCGACAAAAAGCTCCTGTCAATTTTCGACCAGCTGTCATAGGCGGCGGAACGGGGAGGGCACCGGGGCACCGTGCCCTCCTTTGATTTTGGCATTTTAACATTAGCCCTATGGGCGTTGCATGGAAAGAATGAGACCAAAAGTCGGCAGTGCCCCCCCCCCCCTTAATTGAAGGTGTTCCGCCGCCACTGCCAGCTGTCTGAATGAAAATGAGCTCCTCGGCATCCTTCCAATTATCCATATAAGGGGAAAAATAATCTTCTACCCTCTTTTCCCCACCTAGTTTGAAGCTGTCCCTTACTCCCTACCCCGTTGATTTATAGATGTCCATCTCACCTCCCTATCTCACCTCTCGCCTCCTTCTGCCCCCCCTCTCTCCCCCTCTTGTCTCTCACCTGTGACAGTTTGAAGATGTGCTTGGCGCGGTCGATGATGCGCAGTGTTCCGTTGGGCAGCCACTGTCCCACATCTCCCGTGTGCAGCCAGCCGTCCGAGTCGATCGTCTCGCGCGTCTTCTCCGGGTTCTTGTAGTAGCCCTACACGACACCAAGACAGATAGACTTCAGCGGGGGCAAGCTGGGGGTTGGGACGCGACCGGCAGGTCATGAATAACGACGATGGGGATTAAGGGGAGCGGAACGCACACATTTCTCGGAAAAAATCTAACTTTTTTCAAATACCAAGGCAATTCCTACGCGTTACTCCTTGCTCGTCTCTCGCCAGATACGCCTATATTCCAACCACGAGTAGCACCTTTCCCTCTCTTGAATTAGCTCTCCCTTCTAACGGAGAGGTCCCTCTCCTCGCCTTATCGCCACGCTAGACGCACACCTCGTCCTGGCGTCCCGTCCCTTTCATCCCCGTGTTATCTCTCACCTGGGTGACGTTGGTGCCGCGGATGCACACCTCGCCCTGGCCGGAGGCGGCGAAGTAGTTCATCTCGGGCACATCCACCAGCTTAATGTCACAGCAGGGCAGCGGAGGACCGACGTGGTCGGGCCGCGCGTCGCCCTGCAGCGTCAGCGTGCACGGCGCCACGCACTCGGTCTGACCGTAACCCTCCAGCACCTGACGGAGTGGGGAGGGGAGTTAATAGCGTTAATAGCACTCCATGGCCTGACAGAGAGAAAAAGGGAGTTGGCAAAGACGTCTTCAAAAACTCACCCCATGGGGAACAGTATTACCAAACGGCAAGCACAAGTAAGTATCACAATGAAATCAAATAAACGCTATGATCAATTATAGATAGCTTTGTTGTCAGCGCGCAACAAATGTTGTCAATCCCGATCGCAAGAATAGCATCCCTCATTGCGTTTCAGTCGCTCCCTTCCCCCTCCAACATCCCCGTCCCTCCCGATTGGCTCACCGTGCATCCGAGCGCTGCCCTCATGAACGTGAGCACGTTGGCGGCCATGGGTGCCGATCCAACCACCATGAGACGGACCCGGCCGCCCAGTGAGTCGCGCACCTTCTTCAGCACCAGCCGGTCCCAGAACGAGTCGTTACGGATTATACCGCTGTAACAACGGAACAGAACGAGTCGTTACGGATTATACCGCTGTAACAACAGAACAGAACGAGTCGTTACGGATTATACCGCTGGCCTGTAACAGCGGAACCAGTCGTTACGGATTATACCGCTGTAACAACGGAACAGAACGAGTCGTTACGGATTATACCGCTGTAACAGAACAGAACGAGTCGTTACGGATTATACCGCTGTAACAACGGAACAGAACGAGTCGTTACGGATTATACCGCTGTAACAACGGAACAGGACGAGTCGTTACGGATTTAACCACTGTAAAAGAAGGTTACTTAAGGAATTATACCACTGTAACATCGAGTCGCTACGGATTAGGAGTGAGTCGATACGGATTACACCACTGAGGGACAGAAGGAGTCGTTACGGATTATACCGCTGTGGGGACAAGTTACAGATTATACTCTTATGGGAACGGCTATGGTATTGGTGACCGAGTGTTGTCTTGGATTGAATCATTCCTGGAAGACAGAATGCAGCAAGTGTCCCTATATGGAAACCTGTCAGATTTGGTCCCTGTGCGCAGTGGTGTGCCCCAAGGCTCAGTGTTGGGCCCATTGCTCTTCTTGCTCTATGTCAATGACTTGCCAGATGCTGTCACTTCAAATGTGCGAATGTTCGCAGATGACACAAAGCTGTTCTCAGGCATCTCTTCTGAACATGATGTGCGGACATTGCAGGCAGACCTGAACGCCCTCGTGGAATGGTCTAGAACTTGGCAGCTGCCATTTAACGAGAATAAGTGCAAAGTGCTTCATGTTGGTGCAGCCAAGGACCACCACTCATTTCAAATGGGGTCGGACAGACTGACAAACACGTCAGTCGAGAGAGACCTGGGTGTGCAGGTCGACTCAATCTTGAAGTTTCGACAGCAAGCGTCTACGGCGGTCTTCAAAGCGTCTCAAGTTCTTGCGGTCATCCGCCGGTCCTTCGCCTTTTTAGATGAATTTACCCTGCCTCTTCTGTTCAAATCTCTCGTGCGGCCTCACCTGAAGTTCAGCAGTCTTGTTTGGGGTCCGTTCAATAGAGCTGATCAGAAGGCAGTCGAAAGGGTTCAAAGAAGAGCCACCCGGTTAGTGGTGAGCATCCGCCACCTTCCATATCCTGAAAGGCTGAAGAGACTGAAGCTCCCGTCACTGTACTATCGGCGTAGACGCATGGATATGATTCACGCATACAAGATGCTGCACGGCCACGTTGATACTGATCCTTCAGAGCTTCTGGCAACCAATCCTGAAAGGCGAACTCGGGGTCACACACTTAAACTACGGAAGCCTCGTGCAACCTGCCGTGCCAGACTGAATTCATTTTCTGTACGGTGTATTAACGATTGGAACGGACTTCCAGCAGAAATTGTACATTCGCCCTCAGTCAACGTCTTTAAGAACAGGCTGGATGCGCACTGGGAGTCGATCTGGTACTCCACTCCTGTAACAGACTGAGAACTAAGTGGAGTTATGGAAATCGGCGAGAACGGGCCCTACAGGACATCGTGCCTCTTGACCCGATAACACGAAGAAGAAGAAGAAGAAGAAGAACGAGTCGTTCGAAATTGACGATAGTCCAATTAGGCTGAGTAAGAAATGACCCAATATAACCAACTCAATGGAAGACGTTCATCAACGTAACAAGCCGACATAGATTGCAATGGATTCCGGCCACAACATTCATTCACCACATCAATTTTACTTGTTTACTTCAATCAGCCCAATAGACGCCCCGGCAAAACAGCCTATGGTTAACAAATGCTTTCGCCTGTCACAGATGTCAGTGCCTTCGCTTCACAACAGTCCGCTACAACGTCGTTCACAGCTAGTTGATGATGTTTATAGAATACGAGAGAGGAAGAACATTAAATGCATTGGCGATGTTTCAATACATTCCCCTCCAAACTGTACAGGCAGAGCCGCAGAGTACGGTACCTGTCCTTTACCTACACCTCCCTCCCGTCCCGCGGTCTCACCGTTTGATCTCGGCCCCCGGTCTCACCGTTTGATCTCGGCCCCCGGTCTCACCGTTTGATCTCGGCCTCCTTGGCGTCCAGCGCCCACTGCAGCATCCTGGTCTTGAACTTGCTGCCGGCCACGTTGGACCAGACCTTGTCGTAGATGCGGTTCAGCAGCCGCGGCACCACCGGCATCAGCGTGGGCCGCAGGTGCTTCATGTCGTCCATCAGCGCCCGGATGTCGCCCAGGAAGAACCCCACAGAGCCGCCCTGCATGTACATCGCCGTCTGCCGGGGGACAGAGGGGGTGTTAGCCCGGGGCACAGGGAGGGGGTCAGACCAGAGACAAGGGGGGGTCAGACCAGGACGGAGGGGGAGCGTGGGAAGGATAGAGAGGGACAGAGAATGGTGGAAACACGGAGGGAGAATGGTACCATGAATATCGGTGATATTGCATATTGCGTAAAAGAAGAAATCATGCCATACAAACACGTAAACCGGAAAACCTTTCTCAGAACAACTCAGAACGCCTTCTTGCTGCACCCAGCATTATCAAAACAAAACCAGAACACAAGCTTAAGCAGCCACCAACTCCACCCGCTAAGTCGGGAAAACGCAGCCACCGCCCCGACGCCCAGCGGAATTCACCCCCTGGTGCTCACCTCACAGACGCGCTCTAGCATGTGCGCCAGCGGCAGGAAGCTGATGAGTGTATCGGTGTGGTCGGGCGCGCACTCGCCCAGCTGGATCAGCACGGCGCCCACGTCGGCCACCAGGTTCTCGTGGGTCAGCATCACGCCCTTGGGGTCGCCCGTGGTGCCCGACGTGTAGCAGATGGTCGCCAGGTCCTCCGGCTTCGGAGGCTGCGGGAGGGGAGGGGGGTCAGACTGAGTCAGATGGGACCAGGCACCACAGCAGGGGCTAAACAGGCGCTAGAAATGCGATCTAGGAATGCTGAGTGAGGAATGCTAGAGTGCAATTTTAGGAAACCAGTGACCTCAGCAAGCACCGTAATTTTCATTGAAGCAGATTTCTTCCTACTTCGCTCCTTCTTCCTATGTTCGTGCAGATACTCCTTTCATCTCCTAAATCATCTTCATCTCATCCATTTCCATTTCAGGTGTTGCTCCGTGCAGCAGCGTCAGTGCCTATTTGGATCTACTACAAAGTAGATAATTGAAACACACCCCTTAATATCGTCTATCATACTAGATATGTCATACTGCCATGTACGCCATCTGTTTTCTGTTCCATGGGCTGCTCTCACTCGCTTTCTCTGTACCTGTTCAAATATACCACCGGTGGGAACCGGAATGAATAAATGAATGTTCCCTTATTCCCCTTACTGATCAATCCCCCCTCCCCATCCTCACCGTCTCCTTGATGTTGGCGGCGGCTCCCAGTTTCTCCACCTCTGTGAAGCGCGACACGCGCACGCCGGCGTCTTTGGCGCGCTGCACCAGCTCCGGTTTCACGGGCCGCGTGCTCACGATGTGCGTCAGCGGCCGCGGCCGCTGGCCCAGCAGGGTGGCGATCTTGGTGTCGTTATCCACCACCACCACCGAGATGATGGCCTGGCGGACGGCGGAGGCGGGCGTAAGGACGCAGCGCGGTGGTACCGATGGAAATTCCAGTTTCAGCCGGACATGGTCGGAATCCAATACGAAAAACTGAACGCAACTAAATGCTATGATACTTGTTCAAGTCAATCTTCATTTGATTTCGATGCAACGTTCATAAAACGCTGTGTGACTTCAAGCCACTTAGAGTACAATGTCATCCTTAGATAACCACAACCATATCAGCAAGAGTATTATGCTAGAGCAACCACCAGTCCTGTCCATTACTGATCTGACCAGCTGAGAACATACGCGAGTGCAGCAGCAAGGCGGAGTGGCAGTCTCATCACGGCCCCATCCCGCTGACCTGGTTGATGATGAAGGTGCACGCCTCCTCCCCGAGCGTGTCGTACAGCGGCACGATGACCATGTTGTAGCAGTAGCAGCCCTGCTCCGTAAGCACCCACTCGGGACAGTTCTGCGTGTACACACCGACGTTCGTCTCCTGGCCCGGCTTCAGACCTGTGCAGTGGACAGGCGGGGTCAGCTGAGACGGTATGCACGCTAACGTTCGTGTTATGGTCGGGCTTCAGACCTGTAGAGAAGAGGACGTAACCTGCGGTTTATAGGGCGGCTGTAGTTCTAAATCATGTGTCGAATCATCACGTAACCATACATCGACTCGATTAAAGACCACCACCATGCATTAGCTACGATAGGTTTGTGATTTTCTTTTCATAACAGTGTCAAAAGATCGATTCGCTGAGGCAATCAGAGGATCAACGCGATAACCAGGGCAGTCAATGACTCGGTACACGCCTCCATACGGTCGTTCTGAGGAGCTGTGTGACCTGATAGTTCACTGACGACTTTAAATGCAGCTTGTCACGCCACGCCCCAGAGACATAACCTCATCAGCGCTATCGTGCCGGAACTCGATACGATCCCACAGATCGACCGTCCTACCTGTCATCCATTTGATTATTAAAAACGGCACAAGACATCGATGTCTGACGTAGGGGCAAGGAACCGTAACAGTTCAAATGATCACTAGATGTATCAGAAAATTAGGCACGGCTTTCATCAATATTCGCAAACTAGAGAGCAAAAATATCGCAAAAGACGAACGACAATAACATGACCCGGTATGTTATGGGCATATCGACCTGCTGCTGTCGGGTCGGGTCCGGGCCAACTCTACCGGGTTAACAAACATGACACGGTGGAGCACAACCGCAGACAACATCCAACAACACTTCGCTCTCCGATTCCCCAACGGATCGGGCTTAAGTTCCTACTGAACCCCTCCTCACTGGCAGCCCGAATTTCATAGCTCACTCACACATCCCTCCCTCTCCCTTCCCCATGACGCGACCTGTAGCCAGCTCCTCCCTCTCCTCTCCTTATGACAGACCTGTGGCCAGCAGGCCGGCGGCGAAGTTTTTGGCCCTGAGCAGCGACTCGTTGTAGTTAATCCACTGGTACGGCTTGTCCTTATCCTCGTGCCAGCCCAGGCACGGGCCGTTATCTGGGGGAGCACGGAACGCAGAGCACGTCAACGGCGAGACTCGACTTGACACACAGTGGGTTGGTACTGAGAATCATCAGAGTGTTACGCATGACAATAACGGCAAAATACGGGCTGATGAATACACACGTCATTACGAACGATTCTGATACGCGACACCCGTTTTCTGGGATCAAATGTAGGGCAATCCCGTGTCAATACACCATATACGAATCTAACTGAGGCGTGGTCGAGTTTAAAAAAGATGTAGGTAGGTACTACAAGTAAGTAGCATCTGTGTTGGCACAGCTGTGGGCTGAATACGTTACATTATAACAGAGCTGCGGGGCAACTGAGCCGTGGAAGACGAAAACACATGCTATTCTCGTTTGTTTCACTCTCAATTGAAACTAAACTAAGCTGTGCTATCAAAACAAAATGTCGCTTAGCCCACACTTTATTTCCTTGTTGCCCTTTCCCAGGCCCCTGACATGGCCTTCTGACCCCGCTGACCCTATCCACAATTTTAGTTTCACCCCGCCCCGACTCACTGGACAGTTTGGCACCGCGCCGGAACGCGTCAAACATGGTCTTGGTGTTGTCATCCAGGTACTTGAAGTACTGGCCATCCTTGGAGCCCTTGTACGGGATGCGCGACCGACGGATCAGCTCCGGACCCTGCAACACGAGGGACCAGTCCGTCAGGTGGGGCATATCGACAACATGTACGTCAGTGGGTCAGAGCAGGAACAGAGTAGAAGCCGGATTAAGAAAAAAAAACAATAGCGCTGTGACGAGACTTTGAGACACCTCAGGGATAGCCGACTGATGCTACGCAATGCAGTTGTAAGGATTGACGAAATATAGAGGCTATTGGGCACCACATTCCTGGTAAGCCGAGATTCGATGTGTTGCAACAGGTCACCGACCATAGCCGAGCTGCCCCCTGAAACTCTGCCCCAGTCGTCGCACTCTGAATGTCATCGGATCTCGCCGTCCCATATCAGCCGCGCACTGCGCTGACTGGAGCTCTTTGTTTGTTTTGTTGGGTTAGGCCCTTTCGGTCCAATGAGACCATTTCAGAGCCGGGAGGATGATAGGATATAGGGGGAGACATTGGTCTGGGCAGGCACCCTAGTGAGTCGCCGGGGCTGAGCCCGTCCAGAGGACAACAGGCCACCCAGCCCCAAGGCACTCACTGCACCCGGCTACGGGGTGCGTTCCCTCGGGAGCAGCGGTGCCGCTCCAAGGGAGCAGCCCGCATGAGATAAAGTTGCCTTCCAGCCCGGAGGGGGGTTGTGGCGTGGAGGAGAAGGATTTCAGTATCCTGAGGATAGAAGCACGGAACGGTGACTGGAGCTCTGTCCGGTCGCTGTTTTTATATCAGCGTGCTGACGGTTTTCCCCATAAAAGGAAGTTATTGCTGGCGCTTCTTGGCCTCTCATTGGTCTAACGAATAGACCACTTGAATTCGACCAATGAGGAGCCAAAAAGTAGCAGCATGCTCGCAACCTGCTGATAAATAAACGGGGGCGAACAGAGCTCAGGCTCCGTGCTATACTGGAAACAAGCCCGGTCCTCGCGACATCCAAATCGCAACGCACCCACTCAAACTGTTCACACATTCCTATTTCCCGGTATCACTACCCTGAGAACAGCTCATCACCCTCACACCACGGTCCAGTGTCCAACGTTCGCTCAACCACAATCCAACCGGCATCCTAGCATTCGTCCCAACAACCATCTGTCGTTACTTCAACGGCGCCATCCAACCGTCACCGTCGCGGCGCTCACCGGTCGGCCGGGAGCCGCCGCTACTACCGGCAGCTTCACGCGTGGTTGGTGCCCGCCCGCCGCCGGCGCCGGTAGCGTGGCCAGCCGGGCGGTACGGTGGGCGGGCAGTGAGGTTCAAACGGAGCGCGCTCCAGGCAGCCGCCGGAGGAGGAGGACCGGTGGGTTCGGTACGGGTCAGTGTCTCCGGGACTGGGGGTGGTCATTACCGGTAATTACCGGAGGAGACCAGGGATCGGGGACGACACAGGTGTGGAAATGGTGTGGAGGAGAGATGGGGCAAGAAGGGAGAAGACTGAAGGGAATGGAGAAAAAGAGGAGACTGAGAGCGAAGAAGAGGGAAGAGCAAGGCAAGACAGAAGGAGGAAACACTAAGTGAGGGACGATAGAGGAAACGACGATAAGAGTTAAGAAATCCGTCTTTCCCGTGGTGAAATCTACCCGTATCCTGCCAGCCGCCCTTCCCGAAGTGTGCCCATTTCCTCCAGCCCGGAAGCGACTAGTTCCGGCGTCACGGCAGCGCGGACGGTCCGGAGATTCCGACCGGATCCAGTACGAGTTCCAGGCTGGATTCCGGCCGGATCCAGTACCAGTTCCAGACTGGATTCCAGACGCCGTCCGGCCTCCCAAGGAATGTCCGACGGGTCATCGTTCGCGTCGCGCCATTCGACCTCCGAGCCTAGCTACAATAATCATCCAGACACGCCTTATGCATGACGGGGTGCCCCCGCCAGTAACACCTGGCATCAGATGTCTCTGCTCGAATTGCATGAGCAATAGCCCAGTTTTTCGTATGCCTACGCCTCAGTGCATAATGCCATCTCCGCTGTATTATACATGACGGCCACTCCTCCGTCCTTACATCAACATGTCGACCACTCCTCCGTCCTTGCAAATAAAAACTTCCCCGCCAGTCACACCTATATCACACCTGTTCGCGACCCGGGGGCCCGCCGAGTTCACGTGGCCCCTCGGCCGCCGACCCGCGCCGGTAGTACGCAGGTGGCGTGACTGCCGAGCCGACCAATCAGCGCTCGCCCCGGCGCCGCGGCAGCAGCTGACGCCGGGTCGCGGTCAGCTCACTTGGGCTGGGTTTCACGGCGCCGCAATGACCCCCATGAGCTGGCAGAGCGGTACAGAGGCACGTGGCATTGCGCGGCGCGGGACTCGCACCGCGCCGCTGACATGGCGGGCATGTGATACATGTCTGAGGTCAGAAAGCGAGGTGAGGTGAGGCGCGTCGGGGTAATACGAGCGACCCCGCGGGGAGGGAACAATCAACCACAGTGGGTGGCGACCTGCCTGCAAATGCATTGTCTTAACATGTGTTACTGAGGCTGAGCTCACACAATTGGGCGGAGGCTTGCTTGCAAATGCATTGCCCAGACTGCTGTTATTGAGACTACGCTCGTACAAGACTTCAGCACAGAAGCCCAGCCTCAGCCGGTTCAAGCCATAGACACCAGCAAAAACCTGCGGCGTCTCAGCCATGTAACGGACTGCAAACCAAACCGCTGGGTTTTGTACCCGGCACCGAGTCCCAGCCGGCGTCCTAATGCCTCGCACCGTCCGCTAACATCTGTCGCTGCGGTGGAACCTTCATTTAGCCCGCGATCTGGCAGATCAGACCTGATCCTGCCGACGCACTGGGGCAGGGCGGTCTTAGTCCCCACGTCAGATGAATTCCCTCCCTCCCCCACTCCGGGCAGAGGTGCCAAGACGGTCACGCGCTCTTGGGGGTCGCTCCGGGGGGGGGTGTCGCCGACCTTGTCGTGCCTCTGGTGGAGGCCGGGACATTTATTGTAGCGGAGGAAAAACTTCGATGAATTTTGAAGAATATATTGAAGAAATCCGGACGATAGATGATGACGAACGGTAGACGAGGGTGAAATGAGGAGCGCAGAGTAGACAGGTGGACCAGAGAAAAACACAGTGAGCACTGTCGATGAAGTTCACTGTTCAGAGTTCAGATGACACATCGGCGCCGCCGCGGACGGGGCGCCGTCAGAGCCGTTCACTGCACTGCAATACGCCGGCGCTCGTCGGGGCGCCGGCGAATTCGCGCACTGCCACTGAGCTGGGCTCAGTGGCGTTCACTGGGCACACGAACGGGGGTGCCCTCGGAATCGTGCTCGGTGGCACGACTCCGTCACTGTTCACGTTGGCAACCCGCGGGGGGTGCCGTCGGAATCGTGCGCGGTGCACGATTCCGTCACGGGTTCACTACACCGGCGCACATCGGGGCGCCGGCGGAGCCGCGCACCGCCACCGAGGACTGTACCCGGTGGCGTTCAAGTGGAGACTGCCCGCAGCGACTCGAGGAGCCGCCGCGGGCACAAAGAACAATCAGTCGTACATCTAAAAGCAATTAGAATATGAAACGAGAAACCTGTGAGAAGAGCCAGAGCAGGCTCGCGCGGCACGTTCGGTTATACGATACGGCGGCGGCGAGCACGAACAGCCGTCAAGTGTGAAGCGATAGCGCGAGTGACAAATTGTAGGCAATTAGAACTTGAGACGAGAAACTAACACAAGAGCTGGTCCAGGCTCACGGGGCATGACCAGTACTGCGATAGATCACGCGTGGCTGTCAAATGTAAAACGAAAGAGAAGAACAACAGGGCAGTTCATTTCGTCGGTGACACACTCCTCCCCTGTGATCGACTTAAGACGGGAGATCACACAACCACTGAACACCGACGGAACATTCTGTACATCCACGAGATTCACGACTTCGCTACGCAGGTTCTCGCGAGTTCTTCCTAAACTACACAAGCACCTATACAGATTTATGGTACACTACCTATATCACTTAGTACTAAATCATAACGAATGCAAACACTTTCGGCACCTTCACAATCGTTCATTGCGCTAGACCTCGTCCCTGGTCATCTGCACATTAGTCCACTGGTCGCGTCACTTTGTCACTTCTGACGCCAGTCTCCGGTGCGCAGTGTTCGGCTACACCAGAAACGCAACGCGAGTGTTCACACGGCTGTTGCCGGTTTCGGTTGTCGTTCTCCAGAATAGCTGATGTGCTGTCCTTCCAGCAGTCAGCTGATCGGTCGCTGCTCTCAGTAGGTCAGCAGGGTCCTTCGTCGCCTCAGTTTCCCTCGGTACTCAAGGTCAGTGTCAACCGGCAGCGCGGCACGCGCCACTCAGCTGAGCTCCCCCACCTCCAGATGTCACTCGTGCCTAATGGCCGGCTGCGCGGACGGGGGAGGGGAAAGCGGTCCATGTGGCGAGCCGGGCTAGAGGGGGACACGGGAAAAGACATAAATCTCGGCGAGTTTGGTGTCTGCTCCACGGGACGGAGGGCGAGATGAAGTTTCAGAAATGGTCTATAGGCCAGGCTCAGTGGGTCAGTGGGAGTACGGTCGAAGTACAGCTGTCAGGATGTGGGAATGATGTGGCGACAAACCCGTTCACTACAGCTGAGCTGCTTCTTCTAGGACAGCGACCACGTGACCGGCCGTGTGTGGGTCGCTCCATTCGCAGTGACGAGTCGTACAGCGCGCACTCGTCTGTCCGGTCCTGGCAGGAGCTCTGTTCTCGAACCAGGGACCAGAGTCCTTTCGATGTGCCAGGTTTTGGGATTTTTTTCTTTCTTCCATCGGCTCCGGATGTGTCGTAGCATCCAGAGTTTCTCCTTGAGGATCTGCACCGTGATCCGATACGGAGCGGCGATCCTCACGGGGTCGAAGATAACCGCAGTTCTCCTGAGCGCTCCTCGTCTGGTCGTCTGCTTCTTACTGTCTCGGAACTGGGCACTCGGCGAGTCTCGCTCTTCGTCCCAGACAGCACCCAGAGCTCCTTCCGCAGGGAGATAGGTGTCATCGTAGTCCGCATCGGGGTGTGCTTGTCTCACATATGGTGTGCTGCTTTGC